ATTCTGAGTTTCATCACCCAGGAGCTGCGGGAGAGGCTCACAGCTCGCTTTCAGGACTATTTTTCCAGTCTGATGAGCCGCTGCAGGCACTCGATTTTAGCTAAAGAGCTCCTCTCTGTTTGTTTCAGGTTAGTGGACATCATTCAGTAAACTGTCCCGTCCGGAAATATGTTGTTACGTCACACAGTGGAGTCTCTCTGATTGGTTGACGCTGCGTGTCGAGCTGCAAAAGTTCAGATTTTCTAACTTCAGCGATTTGCGCCTCAGCGCGTCGAACGCTCAGATCGTTCAAATCATTCAAATCGCGCTGCTCTAATTGCGCTTGAGGCGCCGCAGCACTTCCCGACGTTGCTTGAAGTGCATCCACCATAGACTTTGCATGTAAACCTGATGCTCCTGATGCTGAAATCGCGTTCGGTGTGAACRCACCATTACACTTCTTATAGCAAAGTTATAAGAGTAATTTAATTAGCAAGGATCACTTTTATTTTGGGTAAACATTCATCCAGTGCAAAAATGAATGGACACAAGAAGTGRCTCTCAGTCAGTGAATGTTGATTTGATCCATAAATATTGCGATCATTTATTTCACAAATCATACAGAATCACTAGAGTACACTTGATTGTGAACAATTAATTTCCTATAAAAGTTTTGGGACCAACAATAACAAGCTTTTAACTTCTTAGTTGTTAACCACACTTAAATAGAAACACAAACGTCAAGCTTTGATGTTAAATACCAGACATTTGAGGCAAATTATCTTAGGGTTGGCAAGGAAGACTTTAAGAAAAAGGAGGAAAGTAAGGTGTTAGCATTCTTATACATTTTATCTTAAATAATGTGGGTTTTAACCAGAAGGGYGAAGCGTTTTGTGCTCAGCTTCGGTCAGACAGCAAGGTTCATAACACAGCCAGCTTAATTACCTTTAGATGATGGTCGATCACCTGTCCAGGTAATTCGGGCTTCTGTTGAGAGAATCTGCTCAGGACTGTTCACCAGAGAAACCCAGGTGTGTAGGTCTACTCGTTTTGTCCACGTCAGGCCGTAGAAAAAAGGCAAAGCCTCTACTGGAACCCAGGCTCAAAATAAAACTTCCGTTCGGATAGTTTCTGAAGTGGATAAACCAGGCGTTGGTCATCCAGGCTGTGAGGTTTCCTCGTTGGCGATGAAGAGGTAAACCTGTCACAGCTTAGCTTTTGACTCCCAGAGAGTCTAACTGTCAAAAGTGACTGATGGCAGTCTGTTACTTACTACTGTCCAGGCGGAAACTGTTAGTACTAAAAGCTTAGAGAATCTAAGTTCCGCCCTCAGGAAGGTTAGATTAGTAAAGATGTTATCAAGGAAAGGTTAGATTCAGAACTTGCCGTCGCCTCCCGAAACTAAACAAAGATTATTGCTGCTGTGTGGTTCAGAACAAAAAAAACATTTCATGACCCATTTAATTATCATCTGATGAGGAGTCTTCAAAACATAACTGAAAGAAAAATGAATTGTTTCAAGTTCAAAACATTTGCAAAAATGATTCAGACAAGTCATTGACATTTCATCAACTTAAACCATAAAGATTCTTTTAGTTAAAAAGATTTTTTCCCACAGAAAAACCATACATAGCTGAAATCATACTGAGGGAGAAAAGAGATCTGTCCTCTCTTCTCCTGTMACTTTGATAAACATTCTCTGATTATCAAAATGCGTAAAACTTTCAGTTAAGAGAACACTAAATCAAATAAGAAGATTCTTCTGTTTATTATCTGATTTAGAAGGAAGAGAATGTCTCTTTGAAAGGTTAAGGTGAYCTGAGGTGGCCTAGATTCAGTTCTAAGTGGAACAGAGTTTTTGTCCCTTCGAAGGCCCATCAGAGGACTGAGAATCCAAGACAGTTTCCTTGATAATTTCACTCGAGGTGACCCCTACACAAGTTATTTTCTCAAGTGAAATGTGAATGGGTCCTGTTATGGATTTGCGACCTGTCCAGGGTGCACCCAGCATCCACAGTCACTGCTGGACAGGTTGACCAGTGACCCCCTGTAAGGAAGAAGTAGGTAAAAGATAATGGGTGGATGGATGAACATGACTAATTCAGACAACACTGCAAAATGCCACGAATATAAACAACATGTAAATTACTAACCATCACTGTCATAGACACAATATCTGCAAACATGAAAACAAGGAAATCTCCCTACTTTTCGTTCTGCTGACTCACCTGTAACCTACCAATTACTGTGAGCAAATAATCCCATCTACACGTTTGGATAAATGCATCAATTTCTTGGCAGTGCAAAAGTCTTGTGTTTTACCCTATTTGTACTTTTTCTGCTAATAAACAATAAAAACTGAAAGTATTTCAAACACAGTACATGAAAAACCAATTTTATCAACTACAATTCTTTGTATATTTTCCATTTTAGGTTCATAATCAAACTTCATAAACAGGAAGAAAAAGTCTGTGTTGTTGTAGAAATGTTACTACATCTTATTTTTTAGAGGTGTGTGTGTGTGTGTGTGTGTGTGTGTGTGTG